GGGCGTTGGCGGTGTCCCTGCGCCAGTTTGGCGCTGTTCGCTGTGAGTGAGCTCGCCGTGGCCCGCGCGCCGCCCTGCTGCCTCATCTTATCCTCTCATCTATCGGCGACCTTGCAGATAACACAAACGAGACAGCCACTCTCGCACTTACAACACCCAAGCCCATATCAAAGGTACAGGCGTGTGTGTGTCAGCTGACGAACCTGCCTTCCTGCAACATTGCAGCGTCCAACATGGAACGACTTGCACGCATCAGCCTCCCCGTAGTGAGCGATGCCCTTGCTTCCCTGGGCCGTGTTTCTCTCGACATTGACGAAACATGAAGGTCTCTGGACTCATTTATCTTTGTGTGTGTGTATATGTATGTGTGTGTGTGTTTGTCTGTGTGTTTGCATACATATAGATTTCTTGAAAAATCTTCAAATATTTTGCTCACATTTGTTTTTATCAGAACTTCCTGGTCAGATTTCCTCGTCTTGCTTTGAAGCCAAACGAAGCTTTTTCAAACGACCTCCAGAGGAAGCTTGCTGCAGCCTCAATAATAAACCTACCGCCGATATGGTCGACAGGAATGAATGTTCAAGATGGAATTCTCTGGATGAATTGCTTATTGTGTTGCCAATAGAGGGTGTTATACACTAACAAGACAATGTCATATCTGCGCCGACCAGAAGTACTAGTTGGAGTAAACTAGTAGCTTTATTAATCTCTAGAAGAGAAGCACTAGCTATTTATAACTGTATATTATGGCCATCTCGGGATGTTCAAAGTGCATTCTAATTTACCATTGTTATTTCCATTATAAACTCGCCGATTAAAAGACTTACCTTTGCTATAGATAGTAGACATTATACCTTGTACTTCGTTGCTTTAAAGTAAGTGGAAGTTTTTTTTTTTTTTTTTTTTTTTTTTTTTTTTTTTTTTTTTTTTTTTTTTTTTTGTTAATCATAACGTTTGTGGTACATAAGGTGTAAATAATTTTTCTAAATTCTTTTAATTCGTTTATCTTCTTCAGCCCAAGCAAAACCAAGGCAAGGAAAAAATCGTCGGTAATTTCACTATCATTACCACCAGCATCCATTATTTCTTCTGCGAATAATTCTGCTACTCACCACGAAGAGGAATCCGTCGTCTCATATTGCGGCAGTTTGTTTACATTGATAGCAAGCTGGATGTTGCGACTGCTTTTGACGAGCTCGGCAAGACGTAGCAAACCAAACCAAACCTTAACTTGCTCGGGTTTCTCGCCGAAAATGCGCCTATAGTCAGCCGCGAAAGAGTAAATAGGATATATTGTCGTAGTTGCAGGTGTAGAAACCGATATAATACTTTTCTTCCTCTATGAGACGACGGCTCAAGATAATCCTTGCCGCTGTCGTTTCCCTTATCTACGCTCCTGTCTGTCAGAGGCGGTTCATAGCTCAAGCAGGTCTTTGCGGACCACTACTCCCTCTCCTTTTTATCATCTGTAGATATATATAAGAGGGCTGGTAACACTTAGCGTCCCCCTCCCTCTCCTTTTTTTTTCATCTGTAGATATCTATAAAAAGGTCTGGTAACACTTGGCGTCCCCCTCCCTC